TTTTTTTTTTTTTTTTTTTTTTTTTTTTTTTTTCTTTAATAAAATAAGTAGTTACACTTTCGCCTTAACAAAACTGTTAATTTATGAGCAGCAAATCTTGCAGCTTCATTTTGGACAGCAATATAAACGGGGTGGGACGGCGCAAAATGGGGCTTCCTCATGTCCCCTAGTGCGACAACATTGCAAAGGCGAACGCTCTGCATTAAATGTTGATCCTCATAAAAGTACTCCTCATGGGGTTATTACATTTTGGCCAAAAAAAAAAAAAAACAAAATGCATCCACGCGCGATCGTCTTTTTTGACCATTTCGATCGCTACATGTAACAAACGAGGGCGGTAAGCAGCACGTCCATGGTGGACACGCATTGGAGCGCGTCACAGGGTGGACCTCCTCCTCTGCTAAAAGAAATATTTGCACATTTTAATGTACACCATTTTAAAATAATCTACCATGTTGTTTACGCTGAACTCGGGCCTGACGTCGATGAAGATGGAGACAGGGGCTCGCTCGTCACTCTTCCCGTCGTAGTAGTCTATGATGTACCTGTGGGGTAAGCGGCAAGGTAGTTGTTACGGGAGCGTATGTATGGGTTTAAAAGGAGGAACACAGGGGGGTAGTAATTACCCAATCGGTGCAAATGTTAAGCAGGCGTTTTTAGGGACACGTCTACGAACGGACATGTGGAGACCCTAGTTGTGCCGAATTAGTCGTAGTGTGCCAATATGCAGCACGCTCGTTTTCCCTTCCCCCCCCTCATGGTCTACTCACTTGATGGTATTGCCGCATCTGTCAATGTACCAGTCATGTCGATCAAAGGGTTTGTTGTACCCCATGAGGTTAAGCATGAAGGCTTTTAGCGACAACTTGTTTGGGAGTCCAATGAACCTGATTAGCTTCTGCTCTTTGCACAGGTCGAAATATTTTTGTTCCTTTTTCATTATTCGCTTCCACGTTTCTTCATTAACGGCGTTGTGAATTTTAAGAGCCACGTCTAATTCTTCCTTGGAGTAGTTGTACCCTGCGCGAAAAGCGGATGCGTGTATGAAAAAAGAGCGTTTGCGTGTGTAGGCATGTCTGTGATCGATCTATACTCATATGCTAAACAAACAAACGAGTTGCTCATTTTTGCATCTGTGGTGTAGGGGTGTAAATAACCTTTTTTCTGAGTCGTGCGATAGAACTGATTCCGGGATGGGTAGTACCAGCTGCCTCTGTTGGACGGGATGGAGGATTTTTCCTTCCCATCGTTTGCAGCCACGTTTTTTGCCTGGTCCATTTTGGGTTCCGGTGGGGCGGCAGAGCTTCTAGCCTTATGGGCGGTAACCTTGTTGACCGCCTTGGCGGGGATGGCCGTTTTTAAGGCTTTCGTCTCAGAAAGGTTGTGACGCTGGAGGGGCCTCCATCATTTGGTGTATACTCCCCCTCACCCATTCTTGCCCCTACATGGAATGCAACTTTGGCACATGTGGTTGGTTTTTGTTTCTGTTTTTTTTTAAATTTGCATTCCACCGCTTGTATTTGTGCAGGGAGCATATTTTCGTTATGCAAATTGACCTGTTTTTTTTTTTTTTTTTTTTTTTTTTTTTTTTTTTTTTCTCCACGACGCTATGTTGGTCCGTTTCTTCACTACGACACGTTTAGAGTAATTTTTTTCTTTTTTCAAATGAGACGAACCCTTGTGCACGACAGGAGAAGCAAATCACTCGGGTGGATGACCCATTTCATCACTGCATTTTCGATGTAATCTCTTTCTAGGGGAAACGACAAATGCGTATATGCCACGAGGAGAGAGTTCCTTCATAAGATCGCAACGGGGGCAAGATGAAAACAACCGCGGTGGTAACAAAAAAAATGGAATAAAGAAGAACCACCCGGCTTGACGAAATTAATCTGAACATTCGTCACCTCCCCGCGAGGGAAGAAGTGACACAAAAGTTCCCCCCTCCCCACCACACAGTTGACAAAATTTGAAGCATACATTTGGATGGCTGTATTTTTTTTTACATGCACACAGGATAAGCTGTGCACAAAAAAAAAGGAGTGACAAAATTAAGGAGTCTAATCTGTGACATCCCCCTTTGTCGCATATACATAACATAATACAACACTACCCTGGGTTCATCATCACATTGGGACGTGCCCGATGGCGCAAATATTCAAAGGGTCAGATTTGTTACACAATGAAGAATTGAGGAAAAAGTTAAAGGCTCACATTAGAGCGAATTGCCTGGTGGGAATGCCAACTGAAACGGTATATGGACTAGGAGGGAACTCGTTGAGTGAGCAGTCTTTAAGAAATATATTTCATATGAAGAATAGGCCTGTTAGTGATCCAATCATTTCTCATGTGCATGACCTAAACCAAGCGTTTGACCAATTATACCATGTGAATGTGTTCGAGAAATTTGTTATATTTATTTTAAGTAAATATTTTTGGCCTGGCCCCTTGTCCATAATTGCAAAGGCGAAAAAGGAGGTGCCTTTAATCCTGACGGCTCATACAGGGTTCTGTGCTGTGAGGATGCCCAGGAATAATATCGCCATGGAGATTATAAAAGTGAGCCATGTTCCAATTGCAGCTCCTTCTGCTAACAAATTTCAACACATCAGTCCTACCACTGCCGCTCATGTCTTTCACGAATTTAAAAATGAAAACATACTAATCTTTGACGATGGGCAGTGCGACGTAGGGATAGAGTCTACTGTGTTGAAGCTGGTCAAGTATAGGAGGAGGGGCAGTGGCCAGCCGACCCGCGTCACACAACGTGGAGGGCAAACATGTGAGGCGACCCAACCGAAGGAGCCCCCCCAAGAGGAAGAAGTCACCACCGATGAGGAATACGAAAAGGAGTGCAAAGAGGACATGGACTTTTTGCGCACAGTCACGGGAATACCTGCGTCGCCAACGGATGTCGAGGTTTACAACAAATTGAAAAGTCTCTTTGAGGCCATTGCGGGGGGTGAAGCAGGTAAGGACAGTGAACTGCCAGACAAGAACGAATCTGCCCTGTTGGAAAAAATCCTCAAGTACAAGAACCTGTACCATTATGGTATTCGAATTTTTCGAAGAGGAAAATACACGAAGGAGCAGATTGAGGAGGTCCTTAGATCCTCTCCCCTGTTAAGAGACGTACAGGTCGATTTGTATGAAAAGATCAAATTTGAAAAGGCGGCCATTTTGCGCTGTGGGGAAGGTGACAACGTGGGTGGCGAAGTGGATGGCGCGATGGACAATTGCCTTTCCACTACCCTACGTGTTAACACTGCGGAGGAGGCGACGCAGAATGAGGTGAGCCCAGGTCTACTCCTCACCCATTACAGCCCGGTCGTGTCGACGTACCTACTCGACGGTGTGCCGGATGGAGGAGACGAAAGTGGCTCAAGGAGTAAAAACTCAATTGGGCGAGTCTGCTTGGCCAAGTGCGTCCTGCTAGACATTGGCAACTCTTTTGAAAATCACCAAAGGGACTTCCTCAAATATATTAACATTTCATACGAAGGAGTGGACACCAAAGAAGAACAAACAAGGGTGGTGATGAAAAACTTTTTCCTTTTCTTAAGACAAGCGGAACAGCTAGCCATAGAACACCAAACTCAGGGAATCCTAATTTCAATAGTAAATTTGAAGTGCGTAGATGAGGGCAGCCTCTCCATTTTCGACAGAATTTTCAGAGCAGCTTCGGGCAAAGTACTGAAGGTGGCCGTGCCCCAGGGGGGACCGCTGCGCCTGCTTTAGTAGGGAGACGGAGAAGTGGAGAAGCGGAGAAACTTTCATACGATGACACAGTGACGTGGCGAATTTTGTGTAGGCCGCACACCCACAGGGACATGTTCTCCCCACACGCGCACATTTGACATAACTGTTTGTTCGCTTCGTTCAAATGCCATTCATACATTTACTTACACATATTTATTCACTTACAAATTTTTATAATTTTATTTACAACGCATATTTGTATTTGTACAGCTGCCTATTTGTGAGCGTAATTTTTTGCAGCACACTGGATGTGCCAACCACGCCGTGCGCAAATTGGCCCCTTTCAAATGAAAAAAAAAAAAAAAAAAAAAAAATTCAACACGGGCTTACATGAGGCAGTCTCCCCTTCGCAGGGGCAAACGCACATTTGCCCAAACCTATGCAGGTGACACTAATTTGACACTTCCCCATTTCGGCTCCCATCCCTCCCTCAAAAGTGTAGAGCATGCTCATTCATGCTGGCCAGGCGTAGCAGCATCCTGAAGTGTGGACTGCTAACCGAGCGCCTATCTGCATGCAGGAGGAAAAGTGAACTCATGCCCTCGCGCAGTCGTGCACCTTTGCACTTGTTTTTACTGTGTTCAATTTTTTCCACAATTGGGCAAACTTTATGCGAGAAAAAAAAAAACGGCAACGAAATGGAGAAAAAAAAAAAAAAAGAAACGTAAGGAAACGGCACGAAGGCGTATATAAATGCCCAATTGTATACACCTGTGTGTGTTAGCAAATTTTCCTGCTACAGGAGATCCCCGCCCAACAAACAAAAAAGGTCTAATCAGTGAAGGCGGAGTTCTTCCTTCTGGAGGGAGAAGTAGGGGATAATCACAGAATAAGCACATAAAAAGGGCAATAAGTGTACAAATAAGGAGATCAACCAAAATAGAGGCAGGTAAATGCTCATGCGGGGAAAAGGCGCACATATTGCTGAACGTATGCCCATTTTTGAAGAGCCAGAAGAGACGAGGTCAAGCGCAGTGTTATAAGTGTGAGCACACACAACTTAGGCCGCTTGACAAAATCCATGAGGATGAGAGGAGAGACCCTTTACTAACACATGCACGAAATGGAACAAAACAAAAGTGACACGAGGACCAGAGCAGACAAGGAAACAAATTCTTTATTTTTAAGAAAGGAAATATTCGACCATGCAATTATATACACAACTAACAAGATAGAGGAAGGCGCTTTACTAATTTATTTAAAAAATTTATATGAGCATTTTAAAAAGTTGAAGAAGGAGAGGGAGCACGGTGGGAGTGTCAACCATGATGATCAAATGTATGTCACGCTGGACAGCTGGCTAGGTTACAATGAAGTTATAAAAGGACAAGACCATATTTGTTCTTCAAACTTTACCCATAATGTATGCAAATCTTTGTGGATTCTCTTAAGTATAACTTTGCAGAGTGTAAAGAAGAAGAACAATGTGAATGGGCAGAGGACTATATTTAACGCGTCACTGAACGAGTTGAACAGGGAGTGTGAGGGGAAGAAGGATCGTGAAGAAAAGGACACGCCTCAAGATGTGTGGAATGAAAATTGGGTAGAAGAACAAGTGTCCATAGAGTTACTAACATTTTTTATAATATTACAATTTTTGAAAATAGATAATGTGAAAAGGAAATACGATAAAAATTTGAGTGAAGATAGTTGGCCTCATTTTTGTAATTCCCCCAGGTCATTGTCCAATTCCTCTTCCGCATTAAGTGCAAATGGAATCGTCAGCAGCATGAATGGTAGTAGCGGTCCAGGTACTTGTACACCCAAATCTAACCTCTCCGATTTCTTCCATTTTTGTGGTAATAATTATAAGCATTTTTTGAAGACATATCTTATTGCCTTTTTATGTGCAACAGATATTATTAATAGTAGCAGCCTGACGCACATTCCCCTCTACTTTAGAAGCGAACATCTCTTCCTGCTCGATTTTATAGTAGACACCAATGACCATACGAATGTATATGAGAGGTACCTACAGAAAAATGAACCAAAAATTTTGTACAAAACAAAGGATATACTAAATTGGTTGTTAACAAATTTGTGTATGCCCGATTGTGCTAGTGATGATATGGTCAAGGGGGTCTCAAACAATGGGCAAAGTCACCCACCAACCACACACTCTTGTGCTAGTAAAAACCCGAGCGCAACGCACTACGGCATTGAAAATATAAATAACGACATTTATACGATTACAAATGTTCAAGGCAAAACCATATACATAACAAGTGATAAAAATATTATTAACATAAGTAATTGTAAAGAGTGTAATATTTTTATTTTTTCTAAAGTCGAATATTTGAAAATTCATTTGTGTGTAAACTGCTGCATCATTTCGTTAGCCGTGGAAATGATTGCTACCTTTTTTAACTCCCAGAATTTGGACGTGCACTTGGTCACTAGAAGCCTCAAGATTGAAAATGTTATTGACACCAATGTATATGTTTACACGGAAACAAATATTATTATTTTTGGTGACACGAGAAACATTCAGCTTGCTCCTTATAACATTTTAAATAAGAACCAGAGGAGGTGTCTTCGCAAAAGCAGGATTTCCTTTAGCAGCAAAAATTGTGACCTCTTCGCCTTTCCCCTCAAGTGCAAAATAAGCTTGTTCCATTCGGTCAGCACATCACACGGGATGAACTTGACCCACTCAGCGAGTTTGTCAGGTGGAGCAAATTTCCCTCTCTCCCGCCGCACGGACAAGAGTGGGAAGAGCGCCACGTCTGGCGTTGGCGCTGCTATTGGCGAAGCCGATATGGGTGCAACTACCTACAGCGACACTACTTCAAACCATGTGAACGCGACGGAAGAGAAAAACGAAGGAGTGTATGCAAAACCATTTGACATGACCAACCTGAACAGTTCATTCACCGACTATGTGTACTATTTGCTGAGTCCATCCAAATTTTTTCTCACCGAGTTTCCCACCCCTAATTTCGCGTCAGATGGTGCAGGCAGGGCCTTGTGTGGGCAGCATCACGAAGAGGATTGCGCCAACAATGTGAATAACCGCCACTACAACCCCGATGGGAAGGAAGTACCCCCCGCAGAAGGCACTTACAAAACGGAAGAGAGTCAAACGTATGAATGCCTCTACCTCCCGGAGGTTTATAAAAATGCTATCGAAAGTCAAGATGATCACATTTTACAATTTTTAAGTTTCATGGAGAGCATCCATTTGTCAGGTGCGCAAATGCAAAAGGTGAAAAAAATACTAACGTATAAATTGTATGCATATTCGAAGACTTCCAAGAAGGCATTCCGAGTGCTCAGCGATTTTGTCTCCCAGGGGCAGGACGCGCCGGGCTCTTCCTAGGGGACACGTGGTGCGACATGTTTTGAAACGACGTCGTCCTGGACTGGAACAAGGGACATCCTCATACCCGTGCGAATTGGCGAATATGCGTCCAATGACCCTCTTGTTCCGTTACATCAGTAGCGGGAAAGGAGGAGTTACTACACATTGCGCAGAGGGGGAGGTGAGCCGAACGCACGTTTCCCCTTCTCAACAAGGCTATCGAGCCGCACTGCGATGTCGTTACGGTTGCGCAGCATCCATTGTGTGTATATTTGTTTTGTGGCATGTGCACCACAGTAGTTTGCACTACTCAATATGTAAATTTACAAATGTCACTTTTTCCCTGTCTCATTTGGAACTTATATAAAATGGTTAAAAAAAAAAAATGATATGTTGTCCTTTTTTTTTGTTCTGTCCTTGAGCGGGCATGAAAAAGAGGGGGACACAGTTGTTGTGTTCGTTCGCTCCACGGCGATGCGATACGTCTGTTAATTTACGGCAATGCCCAAGTGCTAACTGCGCATGATGTTGCTTAACTCTTGTGAAAAGTTAACCGCATTGTCATACACGTGCGTTGAAATTTTTTTCTTTTTTCCATCGGTGGCCCTGACCAAGCAGACGAACTTTTTGTTGCTCTTGTTATCATCCTTGTTGGTCCTTTTGCTTTTCTTTTCTGAGTTTTCCTTTTTGGGGATGACGTTCTTCACGGCGCTTCGCTTGACTGAATGTGGAGTGGTTCACGCGGTGAGGCAGGAAGGGAAGAGCGTCCGTCATGTGAGTTATCCACTATGTGTTATTCGCAGTGCATCATTTGCTATGTGCTTTTTTTTTGCCCCTTTTTCTACACCAATACATGTGTGCACTGTTCGTAAGCACGTGTACATACACATCTATTGAGGACGCGTGGCTATGGGGTCTCCTCTCTCCTCAATTGGGTGGCATTATATATACAGTGTTGGCGCAAATGGAGAAGAAGCAACTCTCAACCCTCTTGTCTGTACTTACCTTTTTTCATGGTAATCCATATGGAAGTTTTTTTCTTCTCGTCTTCCTCTCCACATAGTTTGCTCAACTCTTCAATGAAAGCAGCGTTGCTTAGCAGGACCATTTTTTTTCTTCGTTTCAATTTTCAACACTCGCTTATTTATACCCTTTGCATTACATTTATATCGTGGTCGATTCAATAGTGCAGAGAAGTTGATACAAAAAAAAAAAAAAAAAATTTATTTATTCCTTAATTTGTAGCTTCATATCTGTTTCAGCAAAATTAATTAATAGGACCAATGGGTTATTTTATATATACCCCCATGTAGAAAAGTTGGAAAACAAAATGAAAAAAAATCATACGCGCTTGAGGTATTTTTTTGTTACAAGGGCGGCGCTTAAAAATCCGGTCGAAATTGCACTGCGGTGGGGTTTTAACTGCTTTTTACAAATCGGGGAATTCTCCATCACAAGTAAAAAAAAAAAAAAAAGAACATATATCTCGCCGATGTCATCTTAACCGTTTTCCCCATTTCTGTGATCAAAATAAAAAGCATCACTCTGTTGCGTATTTTCTAAATAAGTAAAAAAAAAAAATAATAATAATAATAATGGCTTGCTACTGCTAATAAGCGCTCGACGGCTGTGATACTGTGACACAGTAATAGGGGCTGACCAAATGGATCTATGTTGCGGGGTGTGGAAAAAAAGGGGCACATCAAATGGTTCACTTGGGTTGGATGTATCATCAGAGGTGATGCCGATGTGGTAATTTCCACGTGGTGACTCCGTTTATTACTGCACTGTATAATCCCTGTCCTTTACCCAACATGCGGAAGCAACAGTCCTTTTTTCTACAATCATCACGTAGCTGCTTCAATTGATACGTCTGTGCATGCGAGCGAGTGTTTGAAGCGGCCAGCGAACGTACATATTTTGTGTGCATAGCTGCTCTTCGATGGAAGCACTCGTTCGCATGCTGGGCGGTAAAAATCTCTTCTTCTCGTTGGGGGGTGAGGGTACCACATATTGATTTTTATATGAAATAGCCAACCATGGGCCCGCCGCAAAATGTTAAGCAGGGGTCTCCGCTCAACATACATACGGTTGAGTTTGTTGGTGATAAGGGAGTTGAAGAACTCATTAGTAAGATAAGTGTAAATTATGAAGAGTGTACTAAGTATGATGCGTATATGACACAGGATGACGCGGAAGAAGAGGAGGCGGAGGAGGAGAAGGAATATGTTGGGGTGGGCGGAATTTTCCAACATGAAAAAGTGAGCAATAGGACTAATATGGCAAGTACAGAAAAGTTGGGGAAAAATAAAAGTGCTAATTCGAATAGTCGCGAGAATGGGCAGGCTCATAAAGGGTCCAATAACGCTGTGGTAGACAACCTCAGAGATGTTATTTTTAAAAAAAAAATGACTCACGATAAGCAGAGTGGGAAGGAGAAAGGTTTTGGCAAGCCCGGTCGGAATGTTTTCACCAATTTGAATGTAAGTTGGAGTGGTGCCAACGCGGCCGCTAACGTTATGAAGCGTGGTGTACATGTAAAATGCCTTCCAAAGTGGGCGTGCTAACGGCATCAACACACGTGTGAGGGATTATTGTGGCACATGTGGGGGGGAAAACCATCCCACGCAGATGGGCATCCGAGATGGAAGCCCCCTAATATGGGTCCACATGCCTGTCTCGACACAACTTCCCCCCTGTTCAGGTTAGGAAGAAACGCATAATGGAGAGCAGCGAGGATTCAGATGAGAATTCCCACTGCGTGAAAAAAATTATTGACTACGTTAAGAAGAAAAAGCAGCGCAAGGGATGATCCCCTTGGGAAAGGTGTGTGGCCGACTTCGAGGTGGTTTTCCCCCACCTGTTGCTGTGTGCAGTGAAGGGGCGTCGAACAGACAGCGCAAGTGTGGACATGTCGTACAGCATTTCTACGCAAGCGCGTATATGGCGCAAAAAAATATGTCACTGCGCTCCCCCCTCTTCATCACATTTTTTTTTTTCCTATTTTTTTGTGAAGCATGTGTACACATAGGTTTGCTGTTCCATGTGGTGCATGTCTTTTTAAATTTACAGAATTTTTTTATTTCAAAATGGGTGACGAGCAAGGGTGGACCCCCTGTTCGTACCAACGTTGAAGTGAGCCAAATAGGTTAAAACGAAAAAAAAAAAAAAAAAAAAAAAGAACATTACACGAATGGAGTGTTTTCCCACTATTGGTCTGCATAATGGAGGTGGGCACAGTGGGGAGACATCACGAAAAAAAAAGGCACGCACGGGAGAGAGTAGAGGCATCATATATGCTTCAAACCAATTTGCGCTGCTTATCTGCATAGGTGACTAATAAAAGTTGAGCTTCTGCGAACACTCAGCGTCCTTCATGAGGGCCGTGATGATGAGTTGCGTTTCCACGTTGAGCTCCAAACCCATGTCGCCAGCCTCCTTGTCTATTTCTGCGCTGACTTGCGTCCTGGTGGACTTGCTTCCTTCTGCAGCATTTTTCTTAGACGATTCGTTGAAGCCAAGAAGGGTTTCTTTATTTTTATTTTTTACTAAACTTTCGAGGGGTA